CTCATACAGGAGGTGGACAACTAGGTGTTCCATGACGTCAAAAAAGCAAGCGGAAATATTTTCACCAAGTTGCAGATTAAGATAGGGATGTTTTCATGAAATTGTTGGACAACTTCCTCTTTAAGAGTGCGGGGGCTCAGATCCCTAAAAATGCTTCAATTCCTTATATATTACAAAAAAAAATTATACACATTAGTATATATATATATATATATATATATATATATATATATAAAAAGAAATTAATTAATCTTTGCGTCGTATTATATTAATTACCTGAAAGTGGTTCATGTACTTTTGCCGGTAGTAGCTCCGCAAATGCAAAGGGAAGTAGTCACTGCATAAAGACATGACAATCATGGCTCTTCATCCCGGAGAAATTTTGCCCTTTCTCAACACATCTTGAGAGATTTGAAACATACCCATCAGGGAACTTCACTTCTGAAGCCACCCAATTGAATAACGCAGACTTTTTTTTTTATGACAATCTGAATATCGGAACTGAACTTGCCCATTGCTTGTTATATGTAGCTCATTCCTTGAGCAGATATCGGGTACGTCCAACCTCTATTTTACGTTGTCTTTCGTCTTCTTTGGGACATTCAATATAGTGTTCACGATATTCTCAAAACAGTTCTTCTCTATATGCATGATATCGAGGTTGTGGTGCAAAAGAAGATCTTTCCAATATGGCAATTCCCAAAATATACTCTTTTTGTGCCAATTGTGCTGAACACCATAAGAATCAGACATATTACTGAAACATGCCAATTCCCACCACGAGGAGCTGTTTCTAAAGCACCGTAGTAATCGATTTACGCTTCGATTTGTTCTCCAGTTAAATATGGAGGAGGCGTGTCTCTGACAACCCTTTTGTGCCTGAACAATGTCTTGTTTCTTCGGTATGGGTGGTAAATGGGAATAAATCGACAGTGACAATCGAACTAACTAGTCTTCTTACCATGCTTCAACTGAAACACATATGTCATTCCATTATAATATGGACAAGCTAATCTCCCATGTGTAGTCCACCCAGACAACATCCCATATGCAGGAAAGTCACTTATGGTCCACAAAAGCATCACTCGCATCATAAAATTTGTTTTCGTTGAACAATCATATGTCCTCACCCCTGTTGACCACAAATCTTTCAACTCTTTTATCAGTGGTTGTAGAAAAACGTCGAGAGATCTTTTGGATGCTTTGGACCAGGTATTAATATGGTCAAGAATAGAAACTCTCATCGCATGCACATCTCCGGTGGCAGGTTGTACGGTGTAAGAAAAACCAGCCACAATGAATATTGTCTCCCTGACATTCTATATGGACTAAATCCATTAGTGCATAATCCAAGATACACATTCCGGCTATTGCTAGCGAAATGTGGATGTACATTGTTAAAATGTTTACAGGCTTTTGCGTCTGATGGATGAGTCATCTCTCCATCCGTCTGAGTATGCTCGGCGTGCCATCTGAGTATGCTCGGCGTGCCATCTCATCCCTCCAGCAGTCTCCTCAGATTGGTACAATCTATTCAATCTGTCTGTGATTGGTAGGTACCACATCCTTTGGTACGGTACCCTATTACGCCCTCGACCTTGCTGTTTGAATCGTGGCTTCTTACAAAATCGACATTCTTCTAACATCTCATCATCTCCCCAGTAAATCATGCAGTTGTCGATGCAAACGTCTATCATCTCCGAGGGCAACCCAAGACTATATACCAATTTCTGAATCTGATAATAAGATTCAGCAGACACATTGTCTTCTGGCAAATACTCTTTAAACAAGTCTACCCATGCATCCATACATTTTTTAGGTAAATTGTGATCAGACCTTCTCTACAACCACTGTAAATTGGCTCATTCGCAGCTTCTAACATTTCATAAAACTTTTTTGCATCTAAGTTAGGTTCTTCAACTTCATCATCATCATGAGTTATAAATGCATCACCTACCATATCATGAACCCTATCACAATCTACCATTTGTTCCTCTTGGTGATGATAGCTATTTTCATTACGCAAATGATCAACCGGTTCAACCTGAAAATTGCTATTACTACTGCTACCTTCATTCCTACAACTGCATCTTCTCCATGTTGATACCAAATATAATAATATGGCATGAAATCTCTATTTATTAAATGCTTCCAAACATTTTCACGAGGGCCTAATTTTGTATTGCAGCATTTTCGACAAGGACAGAACATCTTACCACTTTCCTGCGTAAGTGGTGTAGAATCTGCTTGATGCATAAACGTCTCCAACCCTTCGAGAAATTCTTTCGTCACTCTCCCGTTATTATCTCTGTGTGAATACATCCACTTCTGCAACTCGAAAATATTTCCCGGACCATACATTTTTTTTGTCTTTGATCAAGCTTAAAGCTGATTTTTTTTTTGGTGTGTTTGAAATGAATCACAAATGGTGGTACTTATAGAAATTTTTGAATCTGAGCATTTACTAGGAAATTGCTAGGAAAAGTAGGTACAAAACACGTTTTAGATTTAAATTAGATATTTTCTATCAAGTTACTCGCTAATTTGAAGTAAAAGATCATTTCCTCCTAATTTCGTAGTAACGTTTTACTAGGAATTTACGAGGAAAGTATTTACTACGAGATTACGAGGAAATGGTCTTTTGCCACATAGTTTCCTCGTAATTTTACTGCGGTCTTACGAGGAAAACTTTTTCTCGTAGCTTTACGAGGAAACTTGTTTTCCTCGTAAACCCGAAGTAAGATCGTAGTAAATTTACGAGGAATTATTTTCCTAGTAAAATTTCCTAGTAAACTCTTAGTTTTCTTGTAGTGCAAAAGAACAGGTACGGTAAGGATATGGGTCTAAGTGTATGGCAAAGTATCTATTCGGTATTTTTTGGACTGGTGGGTTTGTGTTAGAGTTTGGGTCCTACCTGAGACTCGATCGTGTACCCAACATATTATGTATATTTAGGTAATTCAGATATATTTCCAGTCTTATGTATATTTTTAAGTTTTGTGTTCGGTTTTCGGATATAATTTTGAGTTTTGTGGAAAATTTCATATTTAAAAAATATATTTCAGGTAATCAAATACAATTTTGGGTATTTTTGGTTCCTCGGGTCAGATTGCAGATCTGTTCGGATAATTTTTTTTGTTTCAGGTATTTGTTGTGTCTTCGGGTCATAAATATTTCAATTGATATGAATCTGTCGTACCAAAAATACATATATTTTAATTATGGGCCTAAGCTAATCTGGACCTGAAAAGAACCGAGCTAAACCAAAAATATTCAAATACCTAGTTATGTTCAAATATCTACGACCCAAAGACTCGAAGATCTGAATACCTATGCATATTCTCTCTATTATATTTTGTGTGCCTTTTATAGAAGTTACATTTATTGAGTTGGTGAAACTTAAGATTTACTTGATAGATTTTTGACTAATTTAATATTATGGATTCATAAGCGTTTTAATAGTTTTAAGCCTTATCTTAATTTTTTATTAAAATTAATTTTATAAAATATAATTTGATGTAATATATACAATTTTCTTAACCTTACTAAAACGATTTTATCAAATTTGATTTTTTAAAAAAATTTGAAAATATATAATGTAAGATGACATAGATAATATATTGTATGATATATGCTAACTTATTTAATAATTGATGTCTGAATATTGTAGGTCAAATATTGAACATAAAATATGGCGTAAAATGTTATTGCATAACAAACTAACTTTGGATGACAAAATATAACAAGAAAAAATATCACATAAAATAAAAAGTAATAATTGTTTTGTTTTTAGTATCTACAAAAGTATATTATAGTATCTACAAAATATATTTGGTTTCTATCATAAAGAGATTAACATATGAAACATTTGATATATTATTTTAAATCAAATGTTAAAAGTTTCATGATATCTTTTATATTAGTTTTGATTGAAATAAACGTGGATTGCTAAAATGCAGAATAATAGTTGTTGCTATAATAGTTGTTGCAAATGTGTATTATTAATATGCAATATGTTTTAAACTGTTGTTATAATAGAGGTATGATATAATATTTGGTTCTATTTATTATGTTGACTTAAAAATGAAAGAGTGCAACAATTTTATTTAAGTTTTTTTTAATTGTATATATTATTGACATTATATTTTATCTAAGTAACAAATTCGGCTGGTAAACACAAAAAAAATACAGAATTAGTGGCGCTTGAGGGATAAATTCAATATGGTGAATCCTAGTTCGAATTTTGCTGATCACACAAATATGAATTATTGATTTCGACCCATTTAAATACTCAGTAAAAGATTTATTTGTGGACTGTATCCTAACCTGAGGATTAGATATGTGTATTTAACAGATCTGGATTTACTTCTTTTATATTAAAAAAATAGAAAATGGAGTTCAAGGTTCTGTCCCACAGAGGCAAGACATCCGGATTTACTTCCTTTATACTAAAAAAAATAGAAAATGGAGTTCAAGGTTCTGTCCCACTGAGGCAAGACTTCCAGTCTTTGGAGGAGACTACCCAAGTCAAGCTTAAGATAAAAAGAAATGGTGGAAGTCCCACGATCAACATGTTTGATTCCTTTTCACATTAAAATAAATGGTAAAACATAATTATTTAAAAGAAAAAACTGAGCAGAGCAGCAAAGCTCTGGTCCATATGCTCAAGACCCTTTCTAAGATAAAAGCGTGTGGGCTCCATCCACTCTGATCAAGACCCTTATTTCTCAGTAAAGATCACAAAGCGCTAAAAGAATGGAAAAATACACAAAGGACTCAAAATTCTATATGTTAAATCATACCTTCACATCTTTCTATTGACTTGGTCTGCCTCCACATCAACCAGAGAAAAATAAATCTTTTCCTTAAGACATTATGTCCTTGTGCCGTTATATAAATGTGCATAGCATCAACTAAGTGATATCACCAATAACCTTTTCACTAACACCGCTTTTAAGACAACCAAAACTTGGTAAGTGTTTTTAGGGACAGTGAGCGATATGTCAAAAGAGATTGAGCTGCCAGGTTTCAGATTCCACCCAACCGAGGAGGAGCTTCTTAATTACTACCTCAAGAACATGGTCTACGGTAATATATCAAAAGTTGGAGTTATTGGTTTTCTCAACATCTATCGTCATGATCCATGGGACTTACCTCGTAAGTACTACTATTGTAGTAGTTTTCTTCACTCCTATAAATGCTATTTTTTCTCTAAATTGTGCTGAATTCTGATCACAGGCTTATCGAAAATTGGAGAGAGGGAATGGTATTTCTTTGTGCCAAGGGAAAGGAAGCATGGCAACGGAGGTAGACCAAGCAGGACAACAGAGAAAGGATATTGGAAAGCAACCGGATCCGATCGCAAGATCATAAGCTTGTCTGAACCAAAACGTATGATTGGGCTCAAGAAGACCCTTGTGTTCTACAGAGGAAGAGCACCTGGAGGAAGCAAGACTGATTGGGTCATGAACGAGTTCCGTATGCCTGACGATTGCACCTTACCAAAGGTAACTTATAAGTTTTGAGTCAGTTATTTGATCAAGAAAACAAATTTGTACTAATCTTGTGTGCACTTTTAATCGCAGGACGTTGTGCTTTGTAAGGTATACAGAAAAGCCACTTCACTTAAAGTATTGGAGCAAAGAGCAGAGATGGGAGCTAAGGCGAATCAAACATGCCCAAACTCTCCTCTCTCGTCTTCCGACACCATTTCTTTCGTTGGGAAAGAGGAAGACTTGATGATGACTTCTTTCCCTTTTCCTCAAGAAGCAGCCATGAATGAAGCAAACAACAACAACCTCATGCTTCAAGGCCATACCGAAGAGAAACAGAGGAAAACAGAGATGAAAGAACCTTCTTCATCACTGAAGCTACCGTGTGGAGTCTTACCACTACCAGAGCTGCAGTTACCTAAACAAGGATTCGATTGGGGACAAGACCAGTTCTTGAGTATAAGCCCATGGCTCCAGAATCTTACACCTATAGTTAACCTATTAAATTTTTAGGCTATATAAAGAGAAAATCTCACGACAAGGTTAACTATTCTTCACCTGGAAAAATAGAACTTGTAAGATACTAATATGCAAGATGTTTGGCTTTAGCTTATGATTTCCCTATTGTATTTTTATTTACTGTGTTAGCTGATGGTTAGGTCCGGTTTTGCGCATCGGTTTATGGTTTGGAATATTACGATACTTGGAGAGTAAGTTAGATATGAGATATTGTGTTGTATAGATAAACATGAGTATATATCGGTAGAGGAGATCTAGTGTATTGAGATATCATTGTAACAAGTATATATGTACTCTGTACATGGTGAATAAACATCAGAGCATTCCAACTTCTTTCTTAGTTTACATGGTATCAAAGCCCCACTAAAAAAGATCCATCAGAAGAAACGTTGAGAAAAGTCATGACTAAAGATATCGTGAAATCCACAAGTAGCAGTAGCATTAGTACGACGTCACCGTACTATCTCCATCCGTCGGATAATCCAGGCGTGTCCATCTCACCATCTCGTTGATAGGAGAGAACTATGGCGAGTGGTCATCAGAGTTGGAGAACCCGCTTCGTGCGAAAAGCAAGATCGGTTTCATTAACGGTATCCTGAAGATGCCGAGTGAGACTAAAGAGCCAGTTGAGACAGAGATGTGGAAAATGGTGAACTCTATGATTGTTGGCTGGATAGGGTCGTCTATTTCCCCAGAGGTTAGGTCTACCGTGACATTCACAGCTGATGTGCACAAGATGTGGTGCGATCTGAAAAGGAGATTCTCGGTGGGTAACGCAGTACGCGTGCATCAACTGAGATCGGAGTTTTCGGGATGTAAGCAAGGTGGTTCCTCTATCATCGACTACTTTGGTCGACTTTCTCAGAAGTGGGAGGAGCTACTCAACTACAATCCACTTCCAAAGTGTACGTGTGAAGCATCTGAGAAGATCGTCGTAGACTATGAGGAAGAGAAGGTGCACACGTTTCTGATGGGACTTGACGACGCACGCTTTGGGAATGTGTGTACCAACATCATCGGAATGGATCCTCTCCCCGATCTCGATTTAGTGTATTAAAGAGTACTGAGGGAAGAGAGACGTCTTGAGGCTTCACGTTTTGAAACCAAGCAAGATGCAGTCGGTTTCGTGTCGAAAACCGAGGCTGGTGAGAACATAACGATGAGTGTTTTGATTGCGGCAATGGCTCGGAGTCTTGGAGGATCTGTGATCTGTTCTCATTGTGGACGATCTGGTCATGACAAGAAGGACTGCTGGCAAATTGTTGGCTTTCCGGACTGCTGGACAGAGCACAATCAAGGAGGAGATCGTGGTTGTGGTGGTCGCGGCAAAGGAAGAGGTCGAGGTCGCAGTCAGCAGCCACGCTCAAATGTGGCTCAAGCCGTGACATGGTCTGGAGTAGCCGGTCTTTCAGCGGAGCAGTGGGCATCGTTGACTGAAATTCTCGAGCAACAGAAGCCGATACCTATTCTAGACAAAATGAATGGTAAGCGTCAAACAGGTGAGGTGATTCTAGACACCGGAGCATCTCACCATATGACCGGTGATCTTGGTTTGCTCACCGATACAGTGGACATAGTCCATTGTCCTGTTAGCTTCGCTGATGGTAGCCAAGTAAAGGCATCCAAGAGCGGTTATTACGTCTCTCAGACAAGCTTACTTTGAGAAATGTTTTGTTTGTTCCTAACTTGAACTGCACGTTACTGTCAGTTGCTAAATTGCTCAAGCAGACTGGTTGTTTGGCTGTGTTCACTGACACACTTTGTGTTGCAGGACCGTTTTACGAGGACTCTGATTGGAGCTAGTGAAGAACGAGGTGGAGTTTATGTTTATCGGGATGTTACTTTGGCGCGTGGTCTTAGAGTTAAATCAGCTGAAGACAAGACTCTGGGCATCGAAGATTGGGACATCTTTTGCCTTTGGTGGTTTAGGAAATGTACCTTTTGTTTCTGGTGTTTTAGACAATGAGGAAAAATTTGGTGGCTGTGACATTTGTTTCAAGTCCAAACATACTCGTGGTGTATTCTCTGAAAGTTTCAATAAAGCTTATGTTGCATTCGAATTAATACATGTTGATCTTTTGGGTCCTTACAGAGAGTCATCTTCGTGCGGTGCTGTGTATTTCCTTACGATCGTCGACGACTTCTCCAGAGCAGTCTGGATACATCTACTCCTTGATAAATCAGAGGTTAAAACGATCTTGCCAAACTTCTGCGCCTTGGTTGAGAGACAGTTCGGGAAATCTGTTCAAAAGGTTAGGAGTGATAATGGGTCTGAGTTCATGTGTCTTTCGAATTACTTCTCAGAAAAAGGCATTGTTCACCAAACGTCGTGTGTGTGCACTCCGCAGCAGAATGGTAGGGTCGAACGTAAGTACCGCAACATACTGAATGTCTCGAGATCCCTGATGTTTCAAGCCAGTCTGCCAACTAAATTATGGGGAGAGTGCGTTCTTACAGCAGCACATGTGATTAACAGAACACCATCTAGCTTGCTACATGGAAAGACGCCATACGAGTGTCTGTACGGCAAGTCTCCATCGTATGACAATATCAAAGTCTTTGGTTGCCTGAGTTTTGCTCACAAGAATTCTCGTGACAATGATAAATTCAAAGAGAGAAGCAGAAAGTGCGTCTTTGTGGGATACCCATTTGGGAAACGAGGCTGGAGGTTGTATGACTTGGAGAGTCATGAGTTCTTTACATCTCGTGATGTAGTATTTAATGAGAGCTCTTTTCCTTTCGAGACAGAGGAAAACAAATCTATTTCACCAGCCTATGAGCTCCCGGTTGTGGAGTTAAGGGGGAGTGATGATGAAGATCTTCCGGTTGAGGAGTTAAGAAGGAACGATGAAGGTGCTGCAGTTCCAGTGGAATCAGTGACTAAGACAGAGGCTGTGACACCGACAGATGATACTGAGAGTAATGAGATCGTGCAAGAGGAACAATTAGGGAGAGGGCATCGCATCTCAAAGCCCTCTGTCAATCTCAGAGATGATGTTGCTTACAACTCACAGTGTCTTGATAATCATAACACCACTCTCGTTCCACCATCAACTACTTCATCACGGTCCTCAACAGTTCAAGGTACGTCGTCATATCCCATTTCTGCTTATGTCACCGATGCAGTTTTCTCTGAAAAATATCAAGTGTTCCTTGCAGCTATATCTTCAGAGAAAGAGCCGCGAACTTTCAAAGAAGCTATGTTAGACCCACGTTTCAGAGAAGCAATGGCATCAGAAGTCGTAGCCCTTGAATAAGAAAGAACATGGGATATGACAAGTTTGCCTAAAGGAAAGCAGGCGCTAGCATGTATGTGGATCTATAAATACAAGTTCAATGCTGATGGGACTGTGGAAAGACCCAAAGCAAGGCTCGTTGTGTGTGGAAATAGACAAGTTGAAGGAGAGGATTATGACGAGACTTTTCCTCCGGTAGCGAAGTTAACCATTGTGCGTACACAACGCGTTCCTGCACGGAGACTTGGAGGAGGAAGTGTATATGAAGATGCCTCCTGGATTCCAGTCGGCAGGAAAAGGGAAGGTGTGTCACCTGATAAAGTCACTTTACAGACTGAAGCAAGCTCTGCGGTACTGGTTCGAAAAGCAGACAAATGCGTTGAAGAAGTTTGGATTTAAGCTGTCTTATTCTGACTACTCACTCTTCACTTACATCAAGGATGATAAGTCACTGCAAATTCTGGTTTATGTGGACGACTTGATCATTGCTGGTAATGACTTGAAGCTGATAGTGAAGTTCAAGGAGTACTTGAGCGATTGCTTCAAGATGAAAGACTTGGGAAAAGCAAAATATTTTTTTTGGTATTGAGATCGCAAGAGGACCACAAGGCATGTTCTTGACTAATAGGAAGTATGCTTTGGACATTGTGGCTGAGGCAGGATCGTTTGGGTGTAAACCCGTGTCGACACCAATGGAGCAAAACCATAAGCTTCTATCAGACAAGGGACCGTTTATAAGAATCCAGCGCGGTTTCGACGGTTCGTTGGTAAACTTGTTTATCTTACCATAACAAGGCCAGAGTTAAGTTATGCAGTACATGTACTTTCACAGGTGATGCAACATCCACGAGAAGCTCATTGGGACGCAATAGTTCGTGCGGTATCTAAAGGGGTGTCCTGGACAAGGCATTATGCTGAAAGCTGTAAGTGATCTGCGTCTTCGTGTTGTTCTGCGATGCAGATTGGGAGGCTTGCCCAAAGTCTCGACGCTCTATGTCCTCTTTCATCGTACTGTTGATAACTCTCCTATCTCCTGGAAGACAAATAAACAGGATACGGTCGCTCACTCCTCAGCAGAAGCAGAGCACAGGTCCATGGCGGTGGCATTGCGTGACCTTAAGGGCTCAAAAGACTTCTGAGAGACTTGGGGTAGAACACTCGGCACCCATGGAGATGTTCTGTGATAGCAAGTCGGCATTGTATATCGCTGCCAATCATGTGTTCGATGAGCGAACGAAACATATCGAGGCTGATTGTCACAGTGTTAGAGATGCAGTTCAGGACAAGAGTATTGTGACGCGGCATGTACGTACGACGGAGCAACTAGCAGACATCATGACTAAGGCATTGGGAGAGCCTGCGTTTCAGTATCTGCTGTCCAAGTTGAGTGTCCAAAACCTTCATGCACCAACTTGAAGGGGAGTTCTAGCTGATGGTTATGTCTGGTTATGTGTATCGGTCTATAGTTTGCAAGATTACGATACTTGGGGATTAAGTTTTTTTTTTTTTTTTTTTTTTGAAATCAAACGGCTGATCTATTACTTAAACGACTTGAGGTGGCCTGGGTAACCAGACCGGAATAGAACAACCAACGTACACCAGCTTACGATAAAAGGACCTAGCTATCTTAGCTAACGAATCAGAAACGCCATTCTGTAATCTAGGAATATAAAAAAAATCTTGAAGTCAGGAAAGCAGATCTTTAGTGTCGACAATTTCTCCAACTCCGTTGAGAAGCTAGGCCATGCATTAGGATTT